CGTCCTTTAACAAAACTGCTCTTATTACTCGGTGATCTCCCTCTCTGTGCTACTGACTATAAGAGTAGAAATATGACTATACTATTGCATGTTGACATACATGTATGTACAATATGCACACATTGAAAAAATGCATGTACATGTATGTACATGTACATGTAGAATGTTATATTTTTATAATTTTTTCTAATACATATACATGTTCTTATGCTGTGTATCAACTTTGAGCTGATTACAATCAAATTTGGATTTTTTATTAATTTTTAAAGTTGCTCAAAAATCAGGCCAATGACACAAGGCTATATAGCCTTTGGTCACAGGCCAAACTTTGTCAAAAATGGCTAGAATAAAATTTTCCATTTTTTATAATTTTTTCAGATACATATACATGTTCTTATGCTGTGTATCAACTTTGAGCTGATTACGATCAAATTTGGATTTTTTTGAACTTTTAAAGTTGCTCTAAAATCGAGCCAACAACACAAGGCTATAGCTTTTGGTCACAGGCCAAATTTCATCAAAAATGGCTAGGAGAGAATTCTCCATTTTTATAATTTTTTCTAATACATATACATGTCCTTATGCTATGTATCAACTTTGAGTTGATTCCGATCAAATTTAGATTTTTTATGAATTTTAAAAGTTTTTTCTGAAGCTCATGCTGTTTAGCTCACTTAGCATGCTTTGTGGGAACCATGGGCAAAATACATGTACATGTATATGCCCATTAGTGCATGTAATGGTAAAGTGTACATGTACATGTACAATGTACCATTATCTCTTCAACATACACAAGGACTCACTCAATCCTCACTCTCTTACCAAATTCTGTTGAGGTCCTCTTGATTGTTGCTGATAAGAAGGAGCTGCTAGTCCTGGCCTCTTCCCTCCTTTGGTAGCTGGGAGTCTCTGATGGGATGGTCTAGTGCTGCTGGGTAATCCTGGACCAATGGAGACTTGAAGAGTCTTCCCTGAGAGTTTGAGAACAGGATTATCACCTCCTGCTTGATGGAACTGCATTGTACGAGTGTTCCCTCCTCTCCAGTCAAACTCCTCCTTCTTGAGTGTCACTGTTATACTAGGAGGGAGAGGAACATATTGAGAATAATATAAAAATAGTTAACATTCCTATTTAGGAATGTATACATGTACATGTACCAGACCTGGGGTCAATTACAAAAGCTCAATTACAATTACGCATTCAATTACACTCCTTTTGTAAAAATAGACTCAATTACAATTACAATTACACCATGATAGTGTAATTTCAATTACATTTTCAATTACAATTACAATTTGATGTACATGTATTGTAGCAACATACTTTGCAGTGCTTACACTGTGTGTTAAAAAGAAGTTATCTTGGTACTTTACAGTATCAAAAACACCCAAAGATACCAAAGTACATAAAGAACATTTCTTTGTGCATCTGTACATTCTGTATTTAGTTAACTCGGTTATAGC